AAAAAATGGATCAACAACCTATATGTGAGATGCAAGAGCTTAAACTTCTATTAGAAGATAACGTGGGTGAAAACTTTATGACGTTGGATTAGGCAATGACTTTTCATATATGACAGTAAAAGCACAGCCACGAAAAAACAAAACAAACAAAAAAAAAATTATCAACACTGAACAACATAACATTACTTTTGTGCTTCAAAGGATCATCAAGAAAATGAAAGGACAAGTCACAAAAAGAGAAGAAAAGTTTTGCAAATTATATATCTGATAATGGACTTCTATCTATCACATATAAAGAACACTTACAACTAAATAATAGAGAAAAATAGTCTAATTTAAAAATGGTCAAAGCAGGGGCTGGGGATATAGCTCAGTTGGTARAGTGCTTGCCTCACATGCACAAAGCCATGGGTTCAATCCCCAGCACCAAAAATAAAATAAAATAAAATAAAAATGGTCAAAGCACCTAAACTGGTATCTCCATAGAAGATACATAAATGTCCAATAGGCATGCAAAAAGATGCTCAACATTATTAGACATTAGGGAAATGTCTGATAATTATAATAATTATAGCCACCGACTAAGATGACTATATTAAAATGACAGATAATAACAAGTATTGGCAAAGATATGGAGAAATTGGACTCCTCATACAATGACAGTAGAAATGTAAAACTATGCAGTTCCTCAAGAGGTTAATCACTGAATACCACCTGACCCAGTAAGTCTACTCCCAGGTATATACCCAAGATAAATGAAAACATGTTTGCGTAAAAATCTTTGTCCAAAGGTTCACACCAGCATTATTCAGGGTAGTCAAAAAAAAGTAGAAACAACTCAAATATTCATCAACTGATGAATGATTTCAATAAAATGTGCTACATCCATACAAAGGAACATTATTTAATAATAAAAATGATTGAAGTACTGATACATGCTGCAACATGGATGAACCTTGAAAGCGTTTTGCTAAGTGGAAGAAACCAGTCACAAAAGGCTATATATGGTGTGATTCTATTTATATGCAATAGGTAATCCATAGGGATAGAAAGCAGATTAGTGGTCATCTAGGCTGGGGTTGGGGATCTGGAAAGGATGAGGAATGATTGCTAATGGGCATGAGGTTTCTCTTTGGGATTGATGGCGTGTGTTGATAATGATGGTGGCTGCATAGCTCTGTGAATGTATTATAAAATGCTGAATTTTATACTTTAAAACAGTGAATCGGGGCTGGGGTTGAGGCTCAGTGGTAGAGCCCTCACCTAGCATGGGCGAGGCCCTGGGTTTGATCCTTAGCACCACATAAAAATAAATAAATTAAAATAAAGGTACTGTGTCCAACTATAACTAAAAAATAAATATTAAAAAACCTAGTGAATTTTATGGAATGTGAATTATATTTCAATGAAATAATTAAAAGGACACCATTAAGAAAAATAAAAAGACACAGATTGTGAAAATATTTGTAAATTATATCAAAAAACAAAACAAAACAAAACAAAACCCTTGTATCCAGAACATACAAAGAACTCCTACAACTCACTAAGAAGACAAACTACCCATGTTACAAAAGAGGCAAAAATTCAAACGGATATTTCACCAAAGAAGATGTGCAAACAGGCTGAAGATCACATGAGAAATGTGCAGCCAAGAGAAATCATGAGGGAAATAGAAACTTAAGTCACAATGCAACACCACTTAATGCCCACCAAAATAGCTACAACCCAAAAGAGTGACATGGAGGCTGACACCCTGGACCCTGTCAATGAGACTGTAAAGGGTGTGTCTACTGTGGAAAACTTCTCAGCAGTTTCCTAACCCAGCAAATTCTGCTCCTGCGTATTCCCCAAGAGAAATGAGAATGGGTCCACTGAAAATAGAACCAAATATTTATTTGCAACAATTTAATAGCCAAAAAGGAGAAACAACTCCATTGTCCATTAACTCATGAATGGATTAACAATGCCATGTATCTATACTATGGGATATTATGGAATCTCTTTTTTTGCTATGTCAAGTATTTTACTATTAACTTTTATAATCATTTTCCACTGACAATTAAATTATTCTCTTCTATTTTTATCAGTGGTTCTAAAACATTTTTATGACTTTATCAGGTTATGTTATCTTTTCTTAAAAAGTGGTTCACAAATCCTAGTTAGCCAGTTAATATTATCATATACTAATCACTGCACTTTTGGTACTTCCTCTACCTTTTATCCTAYGATCACCATCACCCCCTATTTTGGGGCTATTTTTATAGGAGATGGGGCAAATAATAATGAACAAAATTCATGACTCTAAGATTTAAAGGTGCTGCCCTCTGGGCATAAGACAGAGCTGGGAAGTGCACASAGCCAGACCTGGCAGGTTCAGCCCCAGTCCACACTGAGTGAGGGAGGGCAGGAAGAGCATCTGTACAGAAGGCAACCAAGTCTGACGTAGAGAGTTGTGAGCTGGCAGTTGGGGATGGGAGACAATGGGT